GTTGTATTTTTTGGAATTTGTATGAAATATAATAATTATAACTGTGAATGTCAGGTCCTAACCTTCATATTTAAACGAGACATTTCTGTTACAAAAAATATTGCAGTTTCTTAACTTTTATATCTAAATTAATGATATTAAAAATGTAATAACCTTGATGTAATATACATATGTGACGTGAAACTGATTAATCAATAATACTGCAGGGTCTTAACATAGTTTTTTTTAAAAATAAGTCAGGTACATTTGCATAACTAATAACACTAAACTGTGAACCATATTTTAAAACTTAAATTTGCATAATTAATAATATTATGTGGCCATTTGCATCGTATGTAGTATTTAAATGCCTTTAGTCAGGCACATTTACATTTTATAGAACATTTTAGGGTCATTGAAAACTACAACGTTTATTTCTCTTTGGTTGTACCGCTGCTGTGCTTTAATAACAAACATAATAGCTCTGGCAGAAGGGGGATCAGTCGCTCCGTATCTGGCAACCCGCCTGCGCTCTGACGTGACGGAGCTCGGAGTGCAGTGTGCATCTGGAAGTTGTCGCCATCATATCTGGCTAAATGTTAACCTAGCTGCAGTCAGTCCGCCGCTGTGTTCGAGGATACGGCGTCAATAACGCAGCTAACCCCCGTTTGTTCCGTGTGTCGAGCTTCCGTGAGCCGCCGTGATGTTGTCAAGCAGCCAGCGGTCGTAGAGCTGTTGCGGTGCGGTGAGCCTCCCTCACTAGCAGCAGCTACCCGGAGCACACATTAGCAGGCTGGAGTCTTGAGAAGCAGCGAGGGGCGGCGGGCTGCTACGACCAGCTAGCAGCGGGGCAGCTAGCTAGTTAGCTGGCTAGCGAGTAGACAGACGTTTGCCGTCAAAGTGAGTAAAACCGCGGGCCGTGAACGCTGCCGCACAGCCTCCGGTACTTTCCGCTGCTGCCGAGTCGATACGGGACCCTGACTAAGGAGCTAGCAGCGCCGGGAAGCTAGCTGCAACTCCGCCGAGAAACCGAGAAGATTTGGAGCTAAAGAGCCAGCTGGGGTCGAGCTGCCGCGGTGGGAGGCTGTTAAACTGGAGCTGGCATCGTTACTCCTCCCGTCTTTAACACGTAGGTCCACCTGAGTCTGCGTCTTTTCTCCTTCTCTCTGTGTGACGGTTTGTTATGGCCTTTTCTGGTGAAGCTAACTTCCTTTGCAAAGTCTCTCCGGTCGCTCTTGTTGCTGCAGCTGTGTTAGCCACCTCCTGCTACCAAGTAGTTTCAAATTGTTGGCAAGCTCGTTCTAAAATGTGAGATAATCGCCATTTCCAGTGCACAGTTAATACAGTGTTGTGATGGGGTGCGATGTTTACACCGTGTCTGTGTGTCGCGCAGCGGGCTGCTGGGCCTGACAGCTGAGAAGATGTCTGAGGGAGAGAGCAAGCAGGCCCCGGACGCGGTCCAGGAAGCCAAGCCGGAGTCCGCGGCCGCTGCTCCCGCAGGTCAAGGAGTGTCATCCGTGTCTCCCCCGGTGTCCATGGTGACCCAGCCTCCTGCTACTGCTGCCACGGAGGACGAGGAGGAGGAGAGCGAGGATGAGTCAGAGATTCTGGAGGAGAGCCCGTGTGGACGCTGGCAGAAACGCAGAGAGGAGGTAGAGGAGAGATGTCTGTGCTGAGGTGTAGATCACTGCTTACAAACAACAACTAGTGGATGAGGCGTGTTGAGCCGAGGGTCAGACCTGCTGCACAGCTATGCAGCTCTGGAGGAGGCTGGGATTTAAATCAGCTGTAAGAAGTGCCACTTTAACTCCATTTCTATTCCATCTTCTGAAAGTGATACGGAGGAAATATACCCGTAGAGCTGTACATTAGCAATACCACTGAGTGAAGTCATGCACTGACAGAAGCACAAACTGTGTCGTGTTGTCACAGGAACCTGCATGCATTCAGTTGCTGATGCAGAACTTTAAACTTAGTCCTGATTTGATGCCGAGTCCGTCTTACTTTACTGGTTTTGCAGCGAATAGAACACAGATTAAATGGTATTTTTCAGGTAAGAGTATTCAAGCAGTGCCATTAATTTCACTTTGGTTTAGCCTACAGTAATCTCCACATGTCCTTCATTACGGGACAGTGTCACTTTCTGAGAGTCAAGCTTTACCAGCTGTGATGTGCAGCTGTCTTGTTAGAAATAAGCAGAAGTACACATGTTCATCAGCATGATTAACAATTTTATACCAGTACTTCTCTCTTGCATCGTTTGCAGCAACACTTCTTTGCACAGGAACACATTTCTCTTGACTGAAACAGGTGGTGTGCTGTTGGCGCATTTTGTTCAGTTGAAAAGTCAACTGATGCTTCAGACAGCCCTCTTATGGACAGAGCCTGGTGAAGGAAATAACTATCGCTGTAGCACCCGTCGTCTCTGCTTGGGGTTTTAGGATTTGTCGAGCCAGGGCACATAAAACAAACCGTATCTATATTGAACTTGCTTTGTCTCACACTCTTCTGATGAATTATTTTCTTTCCTCCCGAAGGTGAATCAGCGCAACGTCCCCGGGATCGATAATGCTTACTTGGCCATGGACACGGAGGAAGGAGTTGAGGTGGTGTGGAATGAGGTCATGTTCTCAGAAAGGAAGAATTTCAAACTACAAGAGGTGAGTGCAGAGGCAGGCCAGAGCAGCGGAAACATCTGAAGCATTCGTGCGCTGCAGTATTATCTCAGCGTGTGTGATACCGATCAGCAGGAGCACATAGTTTATACCTTAAAGGAATAAAGCGGGTTTTCGGGGTTGTTTTTCGTGCGCTTTGTGACCTCTGTGCTGATTTTCATTTTCCCCCTTCGGCTCTAAGCTCCTTAAGCAAGCGATCAGACTTGTTGCTGCCAGCGAAACAGAAAAGCACACGCTGTACCTGAGTAGCTGCAGAAACATTCTGTGAATGTTGGACGGGAGACCAGATCGTATGAGCTGAACAAATGCTGATTTAGGTTCTTGCTTGTGTACAAGTCGGCATTTTGATAGTTTGGCTTCAATCTAAGTGTTTCTTTAAAGGTTTCTCACTCGTATGTCGCCTTCAGAAAAGTCAAAGATCCAACCTGTTTTTCAAATAAAAAGCAAGAGAGTGCGGTCGTGTTTCTGCTGGTGTGTTGCCCTTAATTACTGTAGTTTAACCCCATCGGAGACCAATTAGTTCAAAGCTGACGGCTTTTTATACGCCTGTAACTGGATGAAAGGTTTTCTCAGACTTAAAGAGCTCATGGATGCATGTTTTCTGTGTATTATGATGTGTGTGAAGTAAAAATC